TTTTTTTTTTTTTTTTTTTTTTTTTTTTTTTTTTTTTTTTTTTTTTTTTTTTTTTTTTTTTTTTTTTATGGGTTGGTCTTAGGTGTCTCCTTTTGTCTTTATAGGTGTCTCCTTTTCTCTATTTAGGCGTCTCCTTTTCTCTATTTAGGTGTCTCTTTTTGTCTATTTAGTTGTCTCCTTTTCTTTTTATTTATCTCTTCTTGTCTTTCTGTCTCTTTTTGTCTCTTTTTCTCTTCTTTTTGTCTCTTATCTGTTTTTATCTGTCCCCTGTTGTCCTTGTTTGTCTCCTTTTTGTCCTTATGTGCCTCCTTTTTGTCTCTTTCTTTCTCTGTCTGTCTTGCTGTCTGTCCCTCTCTGTCTCCTCCTGTCTGTCCCTTTTTTGTCTGTCTGTCTCCTTTTATTGTATTTGTTTGTCTTTTATTTATTTATTTATTTATTTATTTATTTGTCTTTTTTCTTGTTTTTCCTCCTTTATTCTTTCTTTATTGTGTCTCCTTTTCTTTATAATTATATTTTATTTATCCTTATTATATATACATAAATATACATACGTGTATATGTACATATATATGTATATGTATATGTATATGTACATATATATGTATATGTATATGTATATATACAATAAAAAAAGCTGAATAAACACGAATAAATAAATAAATAAATAAATAAGAGTAAATAAATAAATAAAGTAAATAAATAAATAAATAAATAAAATAAATAAATAAATAAATAAATATGTGTATGTATACAGGTAGTGTATATTCATCATCAGTATTAGATATAACAGATGATAAGATAATAGAGACAATAAAAGAAGGAATAATAAATATATCTGCATTAAGTAGACAAGTGTCTCTTCCTTCTTCTCCTTCTTCTCCTCATCTAATCATAGAGACATTTAGGTATTGTGTCTCCCTTTGCATGCAAATTGATTATATTTTCCCGCAAATGCAGCAGATTAAGGATATTATAGATAATCCTGATAAATTTGCTGCTGCAGCTGCTGCTGCTGCTGCACCTGCTGCGTCGGGTGCTGCTGCTGCATCCGGTGCTGCTGCTGCTGCTGCTGCACCTGCTAAGGAAGAAGAAGAAGAAGAAGAAGATGCAGACATGGGCTTCTCTCTATTCGATTAACTGTCTCCTTATACAACATTATATACCCCATACAATTTATTACCCCTATACAGCTACCTATAGCTAGCTGTAGCTAGCTAGCTAGCTAGCTGGATGGGTTGCTGGCTAGCTGGATGGATTGGTGGCCGGCTATAGCTGGCTGGTTGGGTTGCTAGCTATAGCTAATTAGCTAGCTAGCTAGCTAGCTAGCTAGCTTGCTAGCTAGCTATTAATAGGGGAGAGAGGAACAGACATAAGATAATTGTCTAAGGGGTGTAGACATATCCGTTGCTGTCTTCTTAACACATAGAGGAAACTAGCTAGCTACCTAGCTAGCTAGCTAGCTAGCTAGCTAGATAGATAGATAGATATATAGGTAACTATTTATTTATCTAACCACAGATAAAGAGCTAGCTAGCTAGCTAGCTAGTTAGCTAGCTAGGTAGGCGGGTATATAGGTGGCTAGCTAGCTGGCTAGGTAACTGCATAACAAAGGAGATGCAGCTTAGTAGACAACAAGCTGTCCTCTAGCCAGGCGGCATAGCTAGCTGTGCCGCCTGGCTAGGGTTTAGGGTTTAGGGTTTAGGGTTTAGGGTTTAGGCTTAGGGTAGAGGACGGGTGGAGACACACAAACGAAGTATGGAGAACTGCTGCTGCTGTTGCTGCTAGCCAAGCAGCAGCAAGGAGAGCTAGCTAGATATATAGGGACACAGATGGCTAGCTAGATAAGCAGCAGCAGAGACAGCTAGCTAGCTGTAGGTGTACGGATGGCTAGCCAATACAGAGGAGGTCTGCTGGTGTGTCTTGCTGCAGCAGCAGCAGCAGCAGCAGTTCGCTGTCTGTCAAGACACTGCATGAATATCCTGCTGCTGCTTGCTGCTGCTGTTGCTGCTGCTGCTAATGCTACAGCTGCTGCTAATACAGATAATAAGGAGTCGTGCCTGCTGCAGCTATTTATTTTATTTTTTTCTTGTCTGCTGCTATAATTTAACTAAGTTGCTGCTGTTGCTGCTGCGGTGGCGGGTCTGCTGCAGTGGGGCCCCACAGCAGCAACAGCAGCAGCAGCAGCAGCAGCCATGATTACATAAGCAGCAACATATTATAAATATATAAAAAAGAAATAAAAATTATGTGCAGCAGCAAATGATACAAAAACAGAAGAAGACACATCGGCCGCCGCAGCCGCAACTGCAGCAGCAGCAGCAGAAGCAGCAGCAGCAGCAGCAGGCGTAGTGACTATGGCCCCTTCCTTCCCTCTTGAGCATTTTCTGCTTGCAAAGAGAGCAGCAGGAGCAGTACCACCAGCAGCAGGAGCAGCAGCAAGAGCACGGACAGCAGCAGCAGCAGCAGCAGCAGCTCAATGCCGCTGCTTCGGCAGCAGCAGCAGCAGCAGCAGATGGAGTAAACAGCTAAGGAAATCGGATATATGCTCAGGTGTATCTGTGTCTCCTTGTTATCTGTCTCCTTACCAGAGACTAGTGCAGCGGCTAGCTAGGGAGAGACGCAGCAGGATGCAGCAGCAATTTGCTGCTGCTGCTGCTGATGACGATGATGATGATGTTGATGATGAAGATGATGCTGCAGCAGCAGGAGCAGGCGTGTCTGGTGCTGCGGCTGCTGCAGCTGATGCAGCAGATGCAGGCATGCCTACTGGTGCTGCTGGTGATGCAGCAGCAACAGCAGCAGCAACAACACCACGCAATTATGCTAATGCGTCACCT